TAAAAAATGTGACCTGAAGCAGCAGCCAGCCACAATTGCCAAAACCAGCTCTAGTTTCATACAGGTGGCTGGGTTGGGGGGCAGCTATCAACTCTACTCCAACAGAAGCAGGAGGAAACCCTGTGCTTTCTGGCTCTCATGTGAGCTTTCTCTCTGAGGGAGCGTACACAATCACATCAAGATCTACCTGTAACATATAATAGCATACATGTTCTGGTTTATTGTATCTAGCATAGGTAACAGCAGCTATGCAGACATGGCAGCATGGACCGTAGCGCATGTTACCAACCAGAGTACATGCTCTCCAGGGGCACTGACTATATTCTGGTTGCTAGTGCATAGTAAAGCCAGGGCAGCTGTGCCTTATCTGAGCTACCTAGATTACAAGGACACTGTCAAGAGTTACACACTTGTTCTTTCCTGGAGCTGCACAGACAATCCCAGTGAAAACAATGGGACCACTGGATGAAGATAAGCAACTCTACCAGTGTTTGCAAGATCAGAAATTTAACATAATGCTCACACTCAGGCCACAATATCTGCATCATCTGCGCTATCCTCTCTCACTCATTTTGATGGCAATCTTAATGTTGGGTATTCTTCCTCATATTTTACAGGACAAGGTTTCCAGGAAGGACGTGTTCTCCAGCACTTAGGATGTGATAAAAAAAAACAAGCAGAGATGGATGCTGCATCATTGAGGTAAAATCACCATACCCTTTTGTTTCAGCTCCCTGCACAGGCACTGCAGAGGGGTATTTCTACCGGGCTTTCCCGCGTATTTCAGGACACTGACCTAGCTCACTACCTAGTGATGCTGGGGGAATTAATGTTCTGAAAAGAAAGGTTACATTATCCAATACTCTCATAGCATGGTAGGTCAATGCACTGAGAAACTGGGACTGTTTGCTTAACAGATGAAGGAGGGAAAAAGTGAAATAAAATTAAAAAAAATAAGCTGAAAGGCTAAATTAGATGAGTCCTCCTATAAACTACAGTTCCCAACGGCTCGAACTCCTCCCAGTCACTCCGGATTTATACTACTGAAACTCCAGTAGCTTTAGTGAAGTTAGCATGGAGTCAGAGCAGCATAAATGAAAGAGGAAAACAGCCACATATGTATGTTCACTTACATTTTATATCTTCAGGATGCCCATTCAGCTCTCAAGCTCTCTCTGTAAAAACAGCACATACACTTGTCTTTGTCTAAGGGAGGAACTGGGAAGGGGGGTGTCACTTGCCTTTTAAGAGCTTCCTGTGCACCCGGCACAGCTGAGTCTTCAATGTGAAGTGTGCCACTGAGATCCACCAAGACAGCTTTCAGCACACGCCGAGCTGCCATCCTTCACCCCCCCAAAAAAATAAAAACAAGCAAAAAAAAACTGATTAGAAGACAATGGACAATAAAAGTAAGGAACTCAGTTAAGCGTCTCATTCGTGCCAACTGCGGTATTACTCATAACATTACTCGCAACATGAAATGGGCCCCTTTAGACAGGGAAATAAAAGGCAGTGTTAAAAAAATGCATAATTGATAGGGTGGTATTTTCTCATAGACTCTATAAATGGAAATCAGGTGCTATTTGTTTTTTAAGTGTTTCTACCCGAGCGCGTCTAAATATTCTGTGAACAACTGAGACCACAGGGAAAGGGATTTCTGGGTATGGCACTATTGGTTGGGGGTCTCACATTGCTCATTTCTGAAGTGTCACTGACTTCACTAACTCCACTCAAGTGAAAATAAATAGGATAAAGGGGTGATGGAGCACTTGGAGCTCTAGAGTCCCAAATGCTTTACAAAAGTAGGGAGGAAAAACAGGCACAGATTGGTTAAGGGATTTGTTTAAGATCACATAGCCAGTGAAAGAGCCAGCAACAAAACCCATGTCACCTCATTCCCAGGGCAACCTGCAGAGCCAAGGCCAGCAGGACTGGAGCCTGAGACAGCAGACTAAGGTGGCCACTGGTCTTGTTCTATACCAGACCATCCTGTTTTTAAATAAGGAATGGACTGAAAAAAAAAATCCTGTTTCTCAGTTCATTGGTGGAAATACATATCAATCATTTGTCCTCACAATTCTATTGGCTGTGCCTAGAGGTAGGGTGGTACAAAGCCAAGAAGAGCAAGTTTCTGGTCCATCCAAGGGCTTTTTGGGGTGGCCCCACCCCTTGCTGCTGATTGGCGAAGGGGCCCAGTGGCCCTACTTCTTGCTGCTGATTAGCTGAGGAGGTGATGATCCCCGCCACCCCTCATCGCTGATTGGCCAAGGGGAGCAGTGGTCCTGCCCCTCACCAAGGGGATGCCTTGTACACTGGGGATGCATCAGTGGCCACCCTAGAGCAGACGCAGTTCGTACCTTGGCTAGTAAGATCTGAGCATGCTCAACAGGCTAGAGTGGGGGTCCATAACCGTTTTTTGAAGTGGCTGGACAAAAACCACAGCAGTGTCTGAGATGGACCACGCTTCTAACCTGCCCAACACCACTTCTTCCTGCTGCCAATTAATGGGCTTTGCAGGCTGGATGAAATTGCTTAGTGGGCTGGATACGGCCTTTCAGCCATAGGTTGCTGACCCCTTCACTAGAGGATCTGACCCTCATTCTCAAGGCACAACAGACTGCTGTGCCAAATACTCAGTTCAAAACAGAAAGTTGCCATCAAAAGCTAGATAAATGGATTGAGGAAAAGCACAAGGGTCCTGTTGTTCAGTCCCAGGTGCAAGTCGCTTTGGACAGCTGAAGGTCTGTGGAAACCAGCCTTGCTTGCTGACGTAACTGGAATTTATTTCTCTTTACAAACCATGCGTCCTGCTTGTTGCACCAACTTGCAGAACTACTTGCTCACTGTTATTCAACAGAACCTTTTCTTTTTCTCCGCAATTTACCAGCCTATCAAAACTATACAGCCAGTTATCCTGAGACATTAATCAGCAGCTGGTGTCAAGCTGCTTTGCTCACAGTCAGTGAATAAGTACGTGTATACTTTTGAAATTTTGCCTGGTGCCAAGAAGCATGAATGGGACCTGTCCCAGCAAATTTTAATCTTTTATCAAACCTTTTTTTTTTTATCAGTGCAGATAAACCATAAACCTGATATCTAAGGTACACGGCATATTCCACAAACAATTTTATGATCTGCCTAATTTTAGTAATACATAGCAGTAGCTGATATCAAAAAAGAAATCAACTTATCTTACAGTGTGTCTGGTACTAAACCAAGGCTAAACTTCTGTTATAAATAGCTGATAACTGCGCCTTCTACCCCAGCAGAAATACTTAAGGCTCTCGGGCAATTTCACTGTAAAAGCAGCCATTAGGTTCTCAAGACATCTTCCCAAGGTCAAAACCTCCAGCCTCGGTAAAGGCTGAATGCAGTGAAACCGGCATGACCCCACATAATCCTTCTGCCATAAAGTTGACTTCCTGGGTTCCCTTTAGTCCTGACGCCAGGAGTAAGGGAGACAAAAAAGCAGGAAAAATAGATCTGTGAGTACATGGGATCTTCTGGCCAAACCTCATGTCTTCATAGCACCCATACATACTGGGGCAGGGGCTGACAGAGAGGCTCTCATACTGCTCCACCTAGTGAGTGAAACTCCTAACCCTCTCACCCCACATCTCAGGTGACCTCATGGATGCAGCCCATTTCCTAAGGCTGGGCCCAGATGACAGTCTTCTCCCATAGCAGAGAATTTGGTTACATGTAGTCCCTCTTCCAATGCAGCCTAACTAAAATCCAGCTGATGTAAAAATAAAATTCAAAATTTAATCAGTCCTACAGGACTTTGAAATCCAAGTGTGAGTGTTCAAGTACATGTGCAGCAAGTGGTCTATGGTTTTGGACTGGAGAACAGGAAAAAGAGATTTTTCCCTTTCCTCTCTCCTTGTCATCTCCACCCTGCAACACTATGGTCATGTTCTGCTGCTCAGAACAATTTGCTATTTCAGCTGCAGGGGGTGAAACATGGTTGCTTCCCTGTTCATAGATTCATAGACTGTAAGGCTGGAAGGGACTGTGGAAGATCATCAAGTCCAACCCCCTGCACCAAGCAGGAAAGATGACTGTCTGCTCTCCCATCTGCAGTCGGTAAGCCCATAAACAGAGAAGTATTTTGGTTTTGATACCTGTCACAAGACTGAGAGACGTTTTAGAGCCCTGAAAGGCTCCTGTACCATTAGACATAAAGCCATCCTTTCCATCCCATGTTAGAGATGGTATCAGCACTTATACCACCTGCTAATGTCAAGCACCTAAAAACACAGAAATAGTATATTCAGTAAGTGCAACTAAACCATTTTACCACTGCCTCTAAGCTCAGAGTGTTGAACAGGATTACATTAGTGCACATTCTCATCTCAGCCAGCAGTAAAAAATAGCTATGAAAACTTTCTGAGCAGCTGCAATTTTTTTGGTAGCACCCTTCACTCAACTCAATCTGCAGAGCTAGGAGTGGCAGCTCTAAGACATTAGGACTATCATGTGGGATGACCATCCTTTGTTGGCCAGCTAATATTCCACATTGTGCATCAATATATTAGTAAAGATACACTGTTCTCCTCCGCTCCCCCACTTTTCAATAACGGTCACACAAGGGATCACACTGACTTGTACAGCTTAGTATTATAAATGAAAAAACTGGTTAAATTCTTTGTACTAGGGTGACCACTGCAAAAAAACCCAAACACCTTTTAATTTAATTTAAAGGATGATCCTTACTTGATGGCTATTGTCCTGTTCATAACATCTGACAAAGTAGGCTGTTGCCTATGAAAGCTTATACATTTCTGAATGAGTTAGTCTATTGCCCTAAGTCACTCAGTACAGGGGACACTTGGTTTCATACTTCAGCCATAACAGAATCACAAAATCATAGAAAAATAGGGCTGGAAGGGACCACAAGGGGTGATTAGTCCAATCCCCTGCTCCAAGCAGGATTATCCCTGTCTAACCCGTCCCAGCCAAGTGCTCGTCTAACCTGCTCTTAAAAGACTTCCAAGACTGGAGTTTTCACAACCTTTCTAGGAAGCCTGTTCCAGTGCTTAGCTATTCTGAGTTCCAGTTCTTTCTATGTAATAGTTAAACCATCAAAAAGAAATACTGGAACGATTTATGAATATTCTGCAATTTTCATCAGCATCCAGTTACTGAAGTCTCACTTCCTGTACCTCTGGAAATAAGATATCCCCACACAAGACCCTGCACTCTGGTACAAATGTATCTTGTGCTAGTTATGATTCTATATCACAATTAAACATTGGGTGATTCAGTCTTTTACAACTGTATTTACGTCTCTCACCCGGGCTTAGCCTTTCTTTTGTTCCATCAGAAGGGAGCGCTGAGGTCATGAACTTACCTTGTGCGGACAAGAATGTCACAGTTGCAACAGATGGGAAAAACGGTGGGTGAGTTCTGGAAAGGAAATAAGCTTGCAAGCTGCAGGGCACGAGCCTTCTGCCTGACATTAGGAAATACCTTCCTCTGCTGTCCACGATGGGACAATTTCACCTTGCTGTAATGCAGGACTCTAGTTTTGTTACAGCATCTGCTACACACCAACCAAGGATCATGCTACACTGTGCTGGGCACTGGGGCCTGAAGAAGAGCACGGCTGAACAGTGCCGCATGGAAGCACTTTCAGCAGCACCGCAAAGTCTGCTAATGTCACGGGCACAGGCTACGCCACCGCCACCTAGGAGCACCTGTGCAAACAGTGCACCCGTGGCAGCATAGCCCAGCACTGCAGGGCATTCCCTCCACCAGCCACCTGGCAATACTGGTATGTCCATGGCCATACCACACAGCATTGTGGTAACCTTCCCCAGCTGCCACCTGAGTGTACCCTCGGCGATGCTGCAAGGCACTGTGGGATACGTCCCCATCACAAGTCATGCCGCCACCCTTGGTGATGCCTCACGGCATTGTGGGACACATCCCCTCCACAAGTCACAGTCACATAAGCACGCCCGTGGTGACGCCACACGGCATTGTGGGTCACGCCCCCCTCCCCCACACACCGGCAGGCTCCGCCCGGGGGCGGGGCCAAGAAGCACCACACCCCTCGGTCCTCCACATATCAAGCACTGCATGGGTGACTGTCCCCATCCCCCCCCGCCACGGAAATGGTATCGTCCTCTCGCCAAACGGCTTATGGGGCCCCGGAACGCTCTGCTCCGCTGAAGGCGGGCGGCGAGAGATTGACCTGGGTGGTTCCCCTACTCCCCCCCCCATTATCCCATATATGGTACGGTCCACTCAGTGGCAGCGAGGGGGTTTGGACAGATCCATTCTCTGGAAAGGGGGGCGGTTTCTCAGGGCACCTCCAATCTACCCGACTCACCTGGCTCCAGTCAACCCCCAGCGGACAAGGGGCGGGGCGAGCACTCTGCACCCTCCCAGTGTGGGGTCCTTGACGGCTCTAGGGGCTCCCAGATCAGTCGCCTGTTTTTTTTCTCTCCGCAAAGAATAAACATTAGGAAAGCTGCTGTTCCCCAGCTGCAGGCGTCTGGCTTCCGCATGGTGCGGCTCCGGGGAAGGGGTTGGTATTTGCAGACAGGCACTTCTGCGCTCAGCCCTGAGTCCAGGGCACGTGCAGGACCCACAGAGGCATGCGCCTGCGCAGAGCTGTGCGAACGGGCCCGGGGCTCAGCGGGCAGGTTCCAGCATGCTTTGCGGCAGGGGTAGCTATGTCGCTCTCACGCCTGGCTTGGGCGGGACAGGTGCTACGAGGGCTGGGTTGTGCAGGGAGCTCTGCTTCCCTCGGCCACTAGGTACCGCCAGGGCGAGCCACTGGCCGTGGGATTGTGCATGCTTCATGTATGTGCTTCATGTGCAAGCATGTGCACGCTTCATGCATGCTTCAGATACATGCTTCATATACACGCTTTATACACACTTCACCTACATGCTGCACATGTGCCTCGTAGGCTTCATGTGCATGCTTCATATAAGCTTCATGCATGCATCATGTACACTTCATACATGCTTCATATACGTTTCATGTATGCCTCCAGTACATGCTTCATGCATGTGTCACGTACATACTTTATGCATGCTTCCTGTACACATTTCATGCACACTACATGTATGCTCCATGCACACTTCATACATGCTTCATGTACACACTTCATGTATGCTTCATGTACACTCTTCATGTACGTGCTGCATGTGTGCGCCATGGCATCATGGCTTTATCACATGAAATTAAACCCAGGTGGTCTGGTGCCCTGTCCTGGTCTCACCTGTGAACTGTGACATCCCCACCCTGAAAGGAGCATTGGTGGGATTTGCGGGCTGGCCCACGTCAGGCTGCAGGCCCATTAATAGTGTAATCACACCCAGGGCATGGCAGAATTGGCTACTGTAACCTGTTCTGTGTCTGGGCTGCGGGGGGTGATACCTGGCTGGATGGCAGCACTACAGAGGAGGAGCTGGGAGTCTTGGTAGGTTATGGACTCAACAGGAGTCTGCAGTGCGATGCAGCTGCACGAAGGGCAAATACAGTTTTGGGAAAGATGCACGAACTGCAAGACCTGGGAGGTGATAGTGCCTCTCTGCTTGGCACTGGTTAGGCCCCATCTACTGTCGTGTGTGCTGTTTTGGGCTCCAGAGATTGGTATGGATTGGGGGGGAGGTGCCTTCCTCTGTAGGGGGAGAGGATGGGGGGGCATGGCCCTCTACCTGGGCTCTCATGAGCATGTATTAACAACCTTACCCAAGGAAGACTTTGGCTGCCACGGTCCCCCTGCTTTACCTGTGGCAGGTTAGAGTGTTACGTCTTGTGTCATAGCAGAGTTGACTGTAGTTTTGCTAACAGGTTAGATTATGGATTTGTACAAAATGGTTTACATGGGGGTGATCCTGCCTCAGGCATGGGGTTGGACCAGAAGACCTATGGAGGTCCCTTCCAGCCCAGCTTCTGTATGATTTTACAATTTTCAGGGAAACCTTGAGTAATTCTGAAGTAAATTTCCATTGTTTCCTAAATATCCAATAAACTATTCGGATTGCTGGTGTCAGACATTATGGAGTTGAAGAGAGAACTTTATGTTGCTGCTCAGATGGTGAAAACAGGAAGCCTTCCTTATGACCCGGCCATTCAGTGACGTTTTAGAATGGAGGTGGGACTTGCTTCTCCTCAGTATTTGCAAACTGTAATAGTTATTCATGTTTCACTTATCAGGATCCTAGGGATGAGTGAAGTGTTAAAAAAAAAGCTTGCTATCCTCTCAGTTTCGGTGGAGAACAAGGCAAGGCATGTTAACACACTTATTCATTCTGTATCTCTGCCGGTCTACTAAATCTTTTTACATATTTGTATGGCACTCATTCCAATAGTGTTTGGGTACTACATGTTCTTTTAATGTATTTATCTTCAAAACAGCTCTGTGAGGTGGGGAAATGCTAGTATTATTTATTATATTAGACATGTGCTGCCCTTCCCAACAAAAGCTTAGGTGACTTACAGCAATCTCTCCCTTACAGGCAAATGGGAAATTGAGGTAGGGACCTGTGGGTTTGAATCCCCTCAGCTGTCAGAGGATCTTGAAGCTGGGGCTTCTGCATCCTCCGTGAGGCCTGTAATCACTAGGCTACTGCAGGGAGTCACTAAATCCTTGTAGTAGCAGCCACCACTATATTTTGTTAGGGGCCCAATTCAGTATATGCATGTTCGGTGTTGCTATAGCATGTTATTAGATCTAGCCCCTCCGGGACTTCAAATTAGGAACACTTAAGACTAGAAGTAAATGTCACTGAATGAAGCAGATGAGCTGTGCCATGATGTGCTGTGGCACAGCTGGTCAGTGGCACTGGACAAAACACATGTTGCCCCTCCTCCTGCCCCTGATCTCCTTGCTTCCCCTGTTCAGGCAGACCCAGGGTCTGGGTCTGGCGGACCAGGGGAAGCACCACAGAGGCAACAGGCATCTGCTGCTGTAAAGCAGCAGAATCTATTATCACCTTTCATTGCACTACTGATTTTCCTTTCATGTGGTGCAACAATAGATAGCAATGTTTATTTGTTCAGCATTTGTGCTGCCATAAAATATTTTATGGCAGTACAAATGAGATTTTAGGCAACCTCTATTGCCACCCTATTAAGTTTCTATTTACTGATGAGGCTTAGGTATAAGCTAACTACTCTCCTGCTCAACTTTGTCAAGCCTGAGGTCCTTCAAGGCAAGCACAGGAGAACTTCAGGCACTTAGGCAACTAACTTTAAGGTCAACAAGGAAAAACCCTTGGAAGTTAGGCAACACCAGGGCTAAGTGGGGCCTGAACAGGGGTTTTTGGGGTGACAATTTTGGATTTAAATGCCCAAATCTCAGTGAAGACCCTCTTCAAGCACTTTAAACCTGTTTTCAATCTGGCCCTAAATGTTCTTGCTGAAGGTCACAGAGCAAGTCTGCAGGAAAGCTGAGTCTTAAACCATGGGGTTTTGCAAGTACTCCAATCACTAAAAATATTCTCTCTTTGGGGTAGGATGATAGAACTAAATAAGTTCCTTAGGCTTTAAATACAAGTGTCAAGAAAAAGATTTGCTAGTTACCCATCTCTAGTAGGAAGACCTATTTTTTTTGCCTTCATCCAACCGTAGAAGTCAACGGTGCTCGTAACCATGGTCAGGACATTAGAGTTGTAGCCTCAACATGTGCTGGTTTTCTCCAAGGAAATGAGTCCTGGAGAAAAAGCCTTCCATTTGGAATGCCATGTCACTTCCCTCACCTACTTGATCTTAAATCTGCCCCCTGCAATTTGAAAGAAACCACCATGCCAAGATTAAAACAAATTACTGGAAGGTAACCGAAACCTGAGCTATATGATTGTATTGGTGCCTACTCCTGTTATTTTGAGCCCTGCATAGATCTTTGCAAATTTTAAACAAGAATGTCCAGCATGGGAACGTGTTTCTAAACTAGAGTACTTTCTGTAAAGAAACTTTACATGTTCTTTTTCAGGGCTACCTGAATTCTCCTGAAGCAGATTCAACCTTAAATCCTCAATGCTTTATTTTTATGTATTGTTCTCCAGATTTTTTTTGAATAATCAGCTTATTAAGATATGTAGCAGGTACTCCTCGCTTCAGTAGATATGCTAGATGAGATGCTCAAGTCCATGTAGACAGTATATAAGCGCACTCATCACTCCCCTGCTTTTCTCACCTGGGCTCCTTACACACGTCTCTCAACTCCCCCAGGTCTTTTGGATCTTTTCCCTGTCTCTATCTCCATAACTCTTTACATTTTCCAATACCCTGACACCCCTTCTCTATTCATAATGCACTCCAAGGACACTAGTAACACTAATTAGCCCCTCTTCCTTTCTTTCCAGCATGCTACCTTTCTTCTTCCATCCCCAAAAGGCTCTAACCTGAGGAACTGGTGTACTGTTAATAATTTCAGCCCTGAACTTTGCACACTTAAAACAGGGAATTTACAGGGGAAAAAACCCTTGTGCTCTGGGATAAGAGACATGGGGTTTTAAGATCAATTTCCTAATCAGAAAATGAGCTAAAAGAGGAGAAAAAGAAAATCAAGCTCAAAAGGTCAGATCAAACACTACCTAAAGTCAACAGGAGTCTTTTCATTGACTTCAGTTAGCCCAAAATGTAGCTCATAACAAGGGTGACCTTCACTAGGCCATACCAGCAGATGCTGCTCTTCCTTTACCTCCGCTACATATCTCATCAGAGAGAGGTAGTTAGTCATGTTAGTCTGAAGTCTGTCAGAAGGCAGGGTAGACATGCACCTTTACAGACTCACTAAGATACATAGAGAGAGCACAAGCTTTTGTGGATCGAAGCTCAAATCAGTTACTTTGAAGTTAAAGTTGACTGACTTAGTGGAAACCATTAAGTATGCAGCCTCAAGAATTTTGAGGGGAGATGAGTTTTTGTTTTCCTTTGTTTGCAATTATGTCCTTTAGTTTGTTTGTTTTTTGGGGGGGCAGGGGTTGGGTTTTTTTTTTTGTTTTTTTTTTTAAATAGAAATGGGCTCTTGCAACAGTCTGAATCAATAAAAGGGTGAAAAGTACTTCAGACCTGTGTGGAGCCCCAATCTGATCTATATTAACATTCCTAAACTGAAAAGGACATTTTTTCCACCACATTTTGTTTAAGTCCAAATAATGTCATTAACATGCATGTGAAAACACCACATTTTTATGAGCGTTTTTATTCCAAGGTTGACACGGTAGCAGTGTTGTGCGGGGAAACTTACACTGTCATGGCCTATATCCTTATTTGTTTCACACAAGTATGATCCAAATCACACTAATGAAGGAAGATCCTTATATATCGGATTACTTTTTTATAATAAAAAGAAGAAAAAATATTACGA